CTGATTATAATTTTAATATTTAATTACTTATATCTGAGTCCTAATCATAATGTAATATATTTTATTAAAAAATAACATTAATAAGTAGGTATAGATACTTATTTTGTAATACTCCGTAGTACACCGTATATTGTATAATACCATAATATATAGATATTACTATATTAGATTATCAATCTAACGGCGGTATATATTTCAAATTTTAGATTCTAAGCGAAGCAATGAATGTATTTGTTATATAATGATGTACTTAAGTATTTTTGTATCAATCATCAGTGTCATCACCTTTTGGGAAATTAATAATGTTTCGATTTTCAACTTTGAGGGGGGGAGGGTCAACACTTTTAAGTATTTTTTAAAATAACCGTAAGAAAAAAATAATGACAAACAGGAATTTTTACTTAAAACAAGTATTCAGTAAAAACAAATCTCTATGTAAATATTTGCAATTTTTACCAAATATTTAGATTATCTTTTTTATATATGATAGCATTTTTAAATAATATATGATTCTTTTTGAGCTATTTAAAGTCTTTTTTCAATTTTTTCTTTAAATTTTAATAAACAATTTATTGTTAAGTAAAAAATTCTGAAAAACGTACACAAAGTTCTTTATAATTTATTTATTAATCAATTAAGTAATATTGATAATTTACCATTGCAATATTTTGTTATAAGCATTTTAAGTTAGAATTTTGATAACATTTGTGAAAATTTACAAATTATTTTGTTATTAATCACTTATAAAAAATATCTACTTAAAAATTTAAAATTAAAGAATTTAATATAAGATTTCTTTTAAGTTTAAAAAAAAATTATTTATAATTTATTCAAAAATAAAAAAAAATACCTACTAGAAAGACACATTAATTTTTTATGAGTGTTAAAAGTTTAAATTTTTATAAAATTGAATATTGATTGGTTTAATATCTATTTATCCTTAAATTTTTATTATTCAAAAACAAATAACCTTAGATATGTACCTACCTAAAATTTTCACCGAATGTTTATTAAAGAATTTTCTACACAATAATTATAGTATAATTTATAAATATTTTGACATTTTTTTTGCTATAAATGTTCAAAATATGTAGATTTATTTTATGATGCTCTATTTTCACTATTTTACGCTTATCTGATATTAACTCAAAAATGATTAATAATCATATTATATTGTATGAATATATTTCAAAAAACAATCAACCTACTTAATATTAATAGTTAAATAAATTACTTTAATATAAATATTGAAAAATATATCATAAAATGTATTTTGCGATTTTGACTGATAGACCGTATCCGTTCAGAATCATTTTTCGTGTACAATGATATATCATTGATTTAAAATTTTAATTTAAACTCCTCAAATTGTAATCATCACATTCATAACAGTGACCTTCTCAATATTTAATTTACAACAGAACCGTGCCCACTTGCACATCTTTTAAATTTAAAGACTGTCGATAGACAATCAGGTGTCATTCGGTAACTATTTAAAACTAATTAGAATCTTATAACACAGGATAAAAAAAAACTTGTGATATTGGTCATAATTCAAGAGTCAAGTAAATTATTTAAAATGATTATTGATTTTACATACCTAATTTAAATTCGACAGATATGTCTATTTATTGTTTTTACCAGACAACTAGACAAGAGTGTGTTAAAAATATTAAATATCACTTTTAATCTACATTTTAAAGAATAAATGTTCATAAGATAGAATAGTAATGATAAAAAATAAAAACTATATCATAAAACCAAAGTCTTTTTGGCTCTGAGTCTAAAATGATTAAAATGCTAGTATTATTTTTATGACCTATTTTTTAAAATATGGTAGCCCATTTGTCATTGTAATATAATTAAATTCTTTTTTAGTATGAAATATCATGATAAAATTATATCTCATTATTAGCCATTTTAATGACTTTCGTTTATTTTCAATATAACTTAATAAAGAATAAAGATGCTTAGGCGTGTCATTGAGATATTGGATATAAATTATAAGAATTGGAATATTGCATGTTACATGAAAATCGATAATCGCTATTCAAAGGATTATAATAATAATAATAATAATAATAATAATAAAAATATTTTCACGCCGTCGCTGGTTTATATCAAGATGTGTAATTATGTGAATAAATTAAACACGTATAATGCATGTTTTAAATTGATTATTTATGTAACAAAAAAAAACAAAAATATATTAGGTTTAGTTCGTTTTGCATAAACATATTTTGGCAGACGGGTGACTGAAGTATTTTTATGAGTTTTCATCGCGTTTTGTTTGTGCTTGGAGATGAGTGAACTTATGTTTTAAATAATATGTTTGTATGATTGTATGGATTGTTCATTTGCCAAAAGGAAACATTAACCTATGTTTTAATAGTAGCACCTCTCTCCATGGTTCACGAAATGGGATGCTCCCTAAATTTGCCGTGCAGAATTTTTGGCTATTTTATCTGAAAAAAAATTAAAAAAAAAACATTACACGTTTTTGTATTAACTAGAAAAATTTAAATTTTATTACAAATTGACTATTTTTTTTTTCTTTCAATAATTTGTATGTGCAGAATTTTTGAGTAAAATACAATATTATTGAATAATTATTTTTTTTCAGAAGTACGAAATTTTTGTAATAAAAAGTTGTAAAAATTGTATAGTGCTTGTATTAATATTAAGACTAAAACTAAAATTATTTTAATTCGCTTTATTGTCATACAAAGGGTTGCAAAAAAAACACAGTTTTTTTAATGTTTTTTATTAATGTGTTTAAAACGTTTTAAACGATGTTTTTTTTGTTTAAAACGTTTTTTTAACTTTTTTAATATTGTTTAAACGCCATTTTTTGTTAAAAATGTTTTTTATTTTTTTTTTGTCTTAAATAAAACGTTTAAAACACTTTGCAACCCTGGACTCATATAGACAAAAATGATTATTATGAATTTAAAATACCAAGAAGTCGTTCTATTGTATATTGCATAGTAGATATCGAGTGTACCTCTATAGTCTATACACTGTACTGTGTACTGCTTATACGATACATAGTATATAGAGTTGGTCATTATCAAGGTTCGAATTTGAAGGCAATACAGACAAGAAAAAAAGCATTTAAAATCTGAAAAAAGGCATTTAATTTTTATAAAAAAACAATACATCCATCGTCTTAGATATTAAATGAAACACATTATTATGTAAAAATTATTTATTTTTTTTAATAATTATTAAAAAAAAAGGCTTTTGCCTTCAAATCCGAATCCTAGTTATCATATTAATTAATATGTTGAATTGAATTCATTGATAAATTATTGAACATAAAAATTATGGGCTGAGATGATTTGTCAGTTAATAGTTTATACTTTTATAATAAATTTATAGTCCTGCCCATTAATAATTTAATTTTCTATAAGTAATATTATGTTCGGTACTTTAGTTGAACTAATTCATGAAAAATCTAATCGCAATATTATGCAATTTTATTATTATTATTATTATTATTTTATTTAATATTGCTAGTTATTATTCACTTATAAGTTAATATTGAAGACATATAGTAAAATGATGAGAATAGGTTCTTAGTATAAATAGGTTCAAATGAATAAAAATATTTTTTAAATTTAATTACGTAATAAATAAAAATATAAATAACTAAATTCGTTTATTTTTTGTAAAAATTTGAACTTATAATATCTATATAAAAATATTTAAAAGTATTTTTGTAGTTTATAGGTTGATAGAAGAAAAATTTAAGAAGAACATTATTGTAAGATTTAAAATTTGATGAACTTATGATTAACAAATAATTTACAAATTTAAGTTACTTTGAAATATTTTGTTAAAATTTGAACTTCAAACGCTCATAAAATGTTTTTCTTATACATTGACTATAGCTTTAAAAATTTATAGAATAACTCATGTCGGAGTGGGATTTTTTACTAAGATTTCATGTTTTTTTTAATCAAATTTTTTTTTATAAAAGTCAAAGAAGTAGAAAAATTTTAAATGTCTATAAATTGCATAAAAAGATCCAGTATATTTAGAAAATTCTACTATGTCTAAAAAATGCTAAAATATGTAAAAATGTTAATTATCTAGCTATTAATTTTTTTAAATATAAAATAAAAAATCGATTTTGTTAAAATTTTTTCACATAAAAATTCCTGTTTTCCTTAGTTATTTAATTTTTTATTTTCCAGATTAATTGTAAAACACTTGAGAAATTTGTAGTTTTGAACTCTATAGATTATAGGGTACTGTCTAATATCCTTATAGATTTAATTTTTCACCAGAAATCACCTTCAAAAATCGAAGTTGAAGACCTTCAAATATTTATTTTTTATGTTTTAAGCATACACAAACACAAAATAAATAAATTACAACTTAAGTATTTTATAGAAAATTATCCTGTATCTAAAATTAGTTAAATGGTAGGTGCGCAATCATAAGCATTGTAATTAAAAAAAGTGAATGTTAAGAAAATAAAAGAAAAGAATCATGTTATACTTAAAATTGAGGAGGTTGATATTTTAATTTCTAGCTGTTCGATCATTTTCATGCCATAGCATAAAATATACGTATAGAACCCCTATAGGATTGTCAACATTTTATATACATAAATACATTAAGCAGGAGCAATGGTTAAATATGAAAAATAATCAAACTTTGATTTTAAAAAGTTTTTTCTTTAAAAATACGTTTGATTTACAGGAATGCCACAGAGCACTCTTCTCAAAAAAAAAAAAAAAAAAAAAAAAAGAAAAGAAAAGAAATACATTGCATCAAACAAATACATAAAAACGATAGAATACCAGAATCTCAAGTGCATCTTCGTAACTAGAGAGAGGAGGATATAATGTATTATTGAATATTAAAATTATTATGTAAAGAAAATAAATTAAACTAAACAACAAATTACATACCTACTGTTTATGAATAATATTATACATTCAATATTTATAATACCTATTTATCATTTATTTTATAATTAAATGTTTCAGTTTGTACCCTTCGCCAAATTCTCTGGGTATGTTCAAGCCGTACGGATTATATAAACCCCTAGACAGACTAATGAGATATGAAGGAATCACAAATGATGTACCTAGATATCACCCAAGTTTATCTATTTTTAAGGTAAGCTGTGTATTTTGTGTATTTTTAGGTTTATATATTATTAAGACAATAACATTTTTTTTTTTTTTTGGTAGAATAATAACCACACATCACTATATAGCACTATATGGCTATGTAACGTGTTAAATTATTTATTAAAGTTTGTAAATAATAAATACTGATAGTAGATTTTGTAATAATTTTAAACATTAAATTTTACCCATACCTTTACAATTAATTGTAGATAATACTAAAATAAAAGTTTAAAATTTAACGAATATTGAATATTTAACGAATGTATCATAATTACGTAATTATATATGTTTAATTATTACTTATTAGTTATCCATAAAAATATACTTAAATGGTAAGTTGATAAATAATTTTAAACTTCTACGAAATTATATTATTATTTGCAGATTAAAATGATTTAAATATTTAATCAAGTCAATCATTTTGATATAATTTTTTTGATAATATTTAGGTGATGATAAGTAGTAATTCGTGATTAATGGGGCAGACTATAATCAATTATCATTAATTTCAAATTGTAATTAATTTTTTGTATATATAATTGAATAATATAGTTATAAATTAATTTAGATTTCATTTAAAATGCCAGATATTTGAATTAATTTCATAAAATTTGAATTGTTCAAAGAAAATAAATTACATATAGAACCTTAATATCCAAATTAAAGAATATCTAATAATTATTTTGATAATTATATTTAATTATAAAACTTCTCTATAAATTAAATTTTACATATTTCCATTTGATGCCAAAATTACTAAGCTTGAAGACGTACTGGCTCTGGTCTCTGAAACATACCACATATAATTTTCCATGTGAAAAAGATCCTTAAAATGTGAGCTAAAGCCTCGCGTACTGTAAGCGCTTACTTATTGATGTATATTGCTATACAATTTATACGTATAATTTTATTTTTTGCCGATTTGAATCTCTTAAAATCAAATTTTTGAAAAATCCTTTCTTAGTGTACGGAGAAATTTTAATATTAATCTACCCTCAACATTTCAAACTAATGGTTCTAATATTTTTGGCTCTACGTTGATTATGAATCATTCACTCAGGACAGTCTCGTCTATTTATTACAAAGATTATAAAATAATTATTATATTATTATTTTATTGTTATTATAATTATTGGCCAATACCGATTTATTATTTATAAAAATTTATAAATGGCACAAAAGATTAAAAATAGTTTTAAATATTTATAATGTTTAGAAAATACTATTATAAATTTTTAGTAAGAATTTCATGTCATTTATTTTTGAACAGGTTTTAAATTCTTTAAAAACTATGTATCTTAAGATACAATAAAATAAGTTATTTATTATTTTACAATCAAATTTGATTAATATCTCTGTAAATAGGTAAAAAGTAAAAAAAAAATTGGCGTTAGTAAATAAGTAGTCTGTATAAATGCATGTATAACTATTTTTTTTTTTAACGTTTTTATAGCATATATGGGCAGGAGAAAATTATTATCATATAAATAGTTTATAGATAGTAAATAATCTAGATTAAGTTTCCATACAGTCCTTTAAAAAATATTATTATTTTTTTTTTTGAAGTTTAACAATTTTTTTTTTTTTTTTTTTTAAGTACTTATTTTAAATTAAACGCTTTTTATTCATATTTAACGCACAAATGCACAATGTAAGGAGTTCCTGAATTTCAAACCATGAATACAATTTTAACGAATTAATTCTAAAAATTTAGTTTTATCTTTTGGAATAGTCGGCGCGTACACGCCTATTTCTCGGCGCACAAGCGTAGTACGCAAATGCCACGGCAGTAGTCTTTTAGTGCATAATCTTTTTCACAACCTTGAAAACCAAAAAAATATCATTACGATTGCGGACGACGGCAGGGCCGGCTCGTCGCAAATGTCGACGATGAAAATAACGTAACAACGTAACAAGACTGTAATACGTACTGCGAAGTGAGTAGTGACTGCTGCCGTCGCCTCCGCCCTCCACCGCCGCCGCTGCCGTCGCCTCAGCCGCCGACGACGCGCGACGGTACGAAAACCCAACCGGTTAGGAATGCTCCGGCGAATACGATAATATTATTACTATGAGGAACGACAGAAACGTGTACGGGTTATTGCCGAATTCCCCCCCACCGACTCGAGTCGACAGCGACGGCGGGCGGGGAAAACGGCGGACGCGGCCGTCGACCCGGCGCGAACAACACAAAACGCCGCGCGCGTAGTGCCTACGCCGAAACGCGTTCGCCAGTCAGTCGCCACCGGTTGCACGGCAGTCCGCTCCTCTCGTCCCGCTACGTCGGCGTTGTCGCATCGTCGTGTCCGATTTTTCCCGTCCGTCTCGCACACCGTGCCCGATACCGCGGCGGGTGCTCTGTCCGCGACCGTCGATCCCGCCGGCCCCGATGGAGGGGTTCAAGGACCAAGTGATGAACCTGTTGAACGGCAGCGAGGCCCTGTCCGGCGAAAAGATTATGTCCGTCATCAGCGACCTGCAGCCCGTCCTGCCGTCGCTCAAACATCTGAAAGTGGTGAGTGTCGTGCACGGGACGCGTTAAACCAGCGGGTACCTACCTAATGTTTACGCGTGTTGTTGTTCCGCGCGACCTGTTGCTTTGGATCCAACGTTATGTTTTTAAATATTATGTTATTATTATTATTATATTATTATTATCGTGTATCGTCGTCGACGTGCCGGTTAAAAATAGACAGTCGACGGACGTGCGCGATCAGTACATCGAGACCTGAGAGGTGTTTGCTATCTTTTTCTTGTAAAAGTGTCATTTTTGTTGTAAAGTCTTATCTATCTCTCTCTCTCTCTCCCTCCTTCCCTCGTTGTTAATGGGTAGGTAGTATATATGACGGATCCGGTTGTTTGCTATACTTTCTGACGGTTTTGTCCTCCTTCTTCCCCTACAACAGACACCCGATTCTCTGCTATATGAGTCATTTTATGTATAGAATCTATGTATTATTGTCCTACCTGTTGCCACGTGATTTCGTAACATTGACATATAATATATTGTTATAATACCGTATCAATATTTTTCGAACAGTGAGTGATAGTTTAATGAATGTCGTCTGTAAGCATTAAGTTATATTAACGGCGGTCATTGCAATAATGCTGGTTTGGGTGATCGATCATTTGGGATTGTTATAGGTGTAATCATTGTACATCAATGAATTGAATTAATTTAAAGGTGTTTTTGTAAATGGCATTTATGTCGTCTTTCTGGTTGCCAATGGATTCTATTATTGAGCAGTCTTTTTACTATGTTAGAAATTGTCTGGAGCATTTGTGCGAAAGTTTAGGTTATCTCTCACGGTCTTGGGTGTCTGAAATAGTCGATAATAGATAAATAGCTTAATCTGTGCAACTGGATCGCATTTACTGCGCTGCCAGTGGTGAAAATTTGGACCTGTTCCGGTGAGAAGGGAGGGCGTGCATTTGGAGTCCTCGTCTGCATTAAATAGAACCTCACGGAGAAAATGAAATATTGAAAGGTTATGGTCATTGGCACCGATTTCGCTTTTATTTATAATTGTGGTTATCTTATAACTCATAATTGAAGTGTTTTGTGCCATATAGATAAAGGCAGTGTACCTATAGATGATGAGTTTTATGTTTTAAATGGTATAATACTTTTTAAGTTGTTTATGATTTAATAAAAAATGAGTACACCATTAGTGTTATTAATATATTTAGGTTTATTTTAAAATCAATGTGAATGAATATAACTCGTTTCATGTTTATTTTTATGTCTTAAGAAAAGGTTTATCTTATTATATCTTGTCCAATCGTAATAAAGGAAATAACTGTAAATACTTCTCGGATCCCATTAAAATTAAAAGTACAACAAATATGTTTCCAAGTGTTTTGTAATGGGCATACCTAAGATGTGTGTCGTGTTTTTGTTCGTGCACGATACGATAGTAACAACGACGAAACGTGTTTCTACCGCGCGACTTCGACGATATATTATCTAATATATAAATACATTTCAACTATTCATTAGCTAAACGGTGTTACTGTGTATTTTTAAACTTGTAACAAAAAGAACAATTATTATTTTAGGGGCCCATTCGTGGGATTTGGCGTACACGCTACACATCTTGTCCTATGATGGAGAGAATTGGGCATAACGCGCGGCATTTGTTTGTTTTTTTTTTTTTTTTGTCGCATGGTTCTTGTAGTATTATTATTTGTTTTCTAAATCTCGGTGAATAGATCTGCTGGGCCAATTTTAATGAAAAACATGTCAAGAGCTGTGGTTTGTGTATATTTTTTGATTCTAACACTCGTAGAATCCGTTTTGAAATATCGTAAATATACTAAAACGATAAAATATGTTGGCTATACCAATGGGTCTCTACTATACAACAGTTATAATTATATAGTAGTTAAGTAGGTATTGAGATTGTTTTATAAAGTTTTAAACTGCGGCGGTGACTTTAATTATAAGGAATGATGATTGCCTATAACGGTGCATTGAAAACAACGGTTTGCGACATTAACAGAGTGCCGACAGCATAAATTAAAACTAAATTCTAAAATTTTTTTTTCTACCTATATTTTTCAATAGATCTCACCGCCAGTTCAGCCACCAAGTTTTCCAATTTTAGTTCCGAAACCGGCGCTGATTGTTTGATTACGATTTGGGTACAATCAAAACTAATTTCAATGTGTAATAAATATGTCAAATAATATGTCGTTTTTTTCAATTCTGTCTGAATTATGTTTTTAACCGTTATCATTGTAAGGTATGTAGGTATTATGTTATATTTTGTTATTTTATTTACTACCGTCTCGGAACACGTACACGCAGATATATAATGTACTAACTCAATATTATTATAAATCATAATATAGGTATTCAATGATCGACTATAGAATCGGGGTCGCTTGAAAGACAATGTCGCCTGTAGCAGTCAGATTTTAATATGTCACCTTTTATCACTTTTCTATGGTTTTAGTAGTGTTACCCATCACGACAAAATATAT